TTTTTTTTTTTTTTTTTTTTTTTCATTTTTTAGTGAATGTTGACGAATGGCTACAGGAGGCGGAAACATTAAGTGTTCAAGATATGCCACGTTCGGCTAGCTCTCTTTCTGTCAGAACAGATGCATCGGGGACGGCGGTACTTACTCCATCATTTGATTCCAAAATTTAAATACATTACTTGCATTAAACCATTACTTACATAATAAAATTGTATAAAATATCGTAAAGAAAAAGTCAAACGTTTACATTATGTAGGAACATCCGTCCTCGGATTCGTTCTACGACAGCGATGGAGATGGTGGCAGCGACCTGACGACCGTCGAACGACCGGGCAGCGCACGAAACGTTCCTCAACAAGAAGAAGAAACAACTAAGGAAAGACAAAGACACGATAGCGAAGAAGTTGATGGTAATTAAATATCGTATGATATATAAATTGTGCAATAATGGAACGTTGCTCAATGGAATGAGGATCTACATTGCTTACGTTATTAATTGAACAGCTTTGCTCGAGCAAGAGAAACAACGAATAGAACAACTTACAGTTGGTTGGGACGATCCGACAGCTGTCGACTGGGATAACGAAGAAAAAGAAGAACAGACTGAGATTCATGAAACATCTGAAATGTCCTCTACCCAGCCAATATACAAGTGTACCGCGCTCTATTCATACACGGTGTGGATATTTTATAAAAAAATTTACTTCCTACAATATTTTACCGAGTAATTTTATGTTCAGGAAAATCATTTTCACCAGAAAGATATTCATACATACTTTATTATTAAATCTTTTTTTTTTTTTTTTTTTATATACTAAAAAATGCATTTCTTCACAGGCGCAAAATCCCGACGAGTTATCAATCGTCGAAAGCGAGCAACTAGAAGTTGTTGGTGAAGGCGACGGCGATGGGTGGCTGCGAGCGCGAAATTATCGTGGCGAAGAAGGCTTCGTTCCTCAGAATTATCTTGATGTTGAAAGGGAGACAACATCCAGTCTCACTTCCCAAGGACCAGGTCTAGTACAACAAATATCCTTCTCCTCAGTAGATTACACAATCGACGACCACGACGCAGTAGATCCAGATGCTAATTTACAAGCTGCAGCATCAGAAACTATTGTACAAAATCATATTGGAGGTAAATCTATTTTTCAGTCTGCGTTTGATTTGTTTGGTTGTACAGTTCTTCTTCAAGTATGAAACTTCAAATTAACTAAATGAGCTGATTAAATTAAACACATGATAGTTTATGTAGTAAATTAATACAGTAAGTATACCTTATAACAATTATTAATTTCTTTGTCAGAAATGGAGCAATATTGTATTGCCCTTTACGACTATGATGCTACATGCGACGAAGAACTTAGTTTCCTTGAAGGCGATATCTTAAAAGTCGTAAAAAAAGAACCACACGACGTCGATGACGGATGGTGGGAAGGAGAATTACGTGGACAACGAGGATTATTCCCATCCTTAATCGTAGAACCTTGCGCTGCAGACGGTTCACCTTTGACTCCACAGGTTAAATTTTATTTTGAATGGTACTTCTAAACGATTAACATATTTATTTCTAACGCTGTCTCTTTAATTTTGCATTATTAGGATGATGTAACGCCACCAAGCTCTGCACCCCCAGTGTTTACACCACCTGAAATTCCAGAATTTTTATTAGAAAACGAAATAACGGAAAATATGATGAAAGGTAATAAGCTTTTAAAAATTGAACATATTGTGAAACGTTAAGTTGCATTGTATTGTATTATATTATACAGAATCACAAGATGAAAAATCCAGTAATGCAAACATCGAACAACAGCATCGACAAGAGGGTTTCATAATAAATCTTTCAAAGGACCAAAAAAGTCAATACGGCTCGCAGTTTGGAGCCGATAATTCCGAAGAGCCTGGTATAGTAGGTAAGTTTCAAATCATTACTATCGATCATCGCGCTTCCATTTAATTAAAATCTCAATGTGCACAAAACTGCTGCTTAGTTGTAGAATCAGATGAATCGGGAACAAAGGTAAATGTATTCTTCTTAAATTGTAATTAAAGAACACCTGTGTAAAGAGTGATTGTTAGATAAGTCTAACAATGTATTTTCTGTTTTTAGGTAGATGATGAAAAAGCAAAGTATCTGAACAGTGATCAATCTAAAGATGATTTCGGACTTGGGGTTGCGCAAATTGTAATTACCGCAGCGACGCCAATGGAAGAAATTGAACATCCATTCCCTGAGTTGGAAGAAACCGCTGATGATACAGTGAAATCGACAGGAAGTTCCGATGGTGATTTACCTTCAAGCACGACTACCGATGTGAACGAAAGTGACTGCAAAGAAGCTACTGTAATAATGGATGAAAGAGAAGAGCAAGAAATTACAGAAGCACCCGAGGATATTGAAGAAAAATCAACGGTTGATGATTTACCGACAGATTCAGCACCATTCCCAGTTAGTAGCAGCTCTGGAAGTGAAGCGGACTCAACGTCCGGGCCAAGTACAGCAGATAATTCTCAGTCTATACCATCCCGTGGTACCGTGATTGAAATACAAGAAACAGAAGAAGATATTGAGATTGTACCGGAAAAAATGGTAGTAGGAGGAAGGGCAAGTATTCCAGATGAATTACAACCCGATCAGCTAGAGAAGCTGCAAAATCTGAAAGAATCAAATGCCTAGGATTGACTAGACCTCGGAGATGCTGATTATCCTGCCTTATCAAATAAACTGGCTCTTCCGAAAAATCATCAAAATAAATTCCAGCATTTACTGGAATTTTGGAAATCTCCAGAGGTTATTGGAAAGAAAGACTAATGAATAACGGGACAACTAAACGATTTTTATGTTAATATTATGTACACAACTTTTTTGCTAGATGATACTCTAGTGAACTATTGCAAGAAAGGTGTTGCGACTTTTGCAACTTATTTACAAGACATTAATGTACAGTCATAAGGTAATAAAGAAAATTGTCAATACCTATAATAGATGAAAACTTTTAGTTGTTTGTGTATATTCTAAGAGAATTATAATGTGTGTTGCATGTAAAAAAAAACCGTTTTATTCATAATTATTTTTATTTATAACATCCATTTTTTGAAAATCCTTTATCCACACTCCATGTTCATATAAACAATATAAAATTATTAACAAACTTGCATTCAAGGCTGCATTCTGAGAGCACCATCTAATCTTATCACTTCTCCATTTAAGAGATGATTTTCAACAATATGTTTTGTTAGATTAGCATATTCATCAGGTTTACCCAATCTGTTTGGAAATGGTACTGTTCTCATTAAAAATTGACGCACTTTCTCTGGTAAACTTCCTAGCATTGGTGTGTCAAATATTCCTGGAGCGATTGTAACAACTCGAATGCCAACTTTAGCGAGGTCGCGAGCCAATGGCAAAGTCATACCAACAATCGCACCTTTGCTAGCAGAGTATGCTACCTGACCTATTTGTCCGTCAAATGCCGCAATGCTTGCTGTATTAATTATTACTCCACGTTCTCCATCTTCGTCTGGCTTGTTTTTATATAAAAGTGGTAGAGATAATCTAATAACATTAAATGTTCCAAAAGTATTTACATTAAGCACTTTCATAAAAGTATCTGCTTGATGTGGAGATTGTGTATTAAAATTATACACTTTGTGGGCAACAGCTATTCCTGCTGCATTTACTACAACATTTAATTTGTTGAACTTCTCATTTATTGTATCTATAGCAGCAGTTACATCATCCGTTGATGTAACCTGTAAAACAAAACAAATCGTTATTAATATAGAAATTTCTCAGGCAAAGTTCATATAATATATATATTTTTAATGGTAATTCACAATATTAATAATATTAATTGTAGTATACACACATTAAATTAAGATCAATAACAATAATAACATTGGAATTAATAGAACTATAAAGTTTCATACTACTAATCTTCATACTATAATTCTTCATACTATAAATATAAAGAAAAAATATACTACATTAATATTATTTAAAATTTGATTGATATCTTTTTACTTTATTTGGTCACTGTACTGTCATGAATTTATATTAGTAATATTAACTCTCTACTGTCAAAACACAGAATTAATAATTAATAATAAGTACTTAAGCAGAGACATTTCTGATTTTCTTTTCTTTTTAACAATAAATGTACAAATTTTAATAATGTAAATTAAAACAATTGATCATTCTATTTTGATATATTTACGAGGAAACTATGCAATCGGTAAACATTTTTTAGAAATGTTTCATATTTATATATGAAGTATCTACTTGGCAGTAGAAAAGTTTCATACATACTTTGGCAGTAGAAAATTAATAATATTTATATGTTTATTTTGTACTTACATCCATTGGTATGAAGGTAGCAGATTCTCCAAGCTCTTCAACAATTTCATTTCCTTTAGATATTGGTAAATCAGCAACAGCAACTTTGGCACCTTCTTTTATAAATCTTCGTACAACACCAAGTCCCAAACCAGATGCACCACCAGTTACAAGAGCAACTAATCCCTAAAAAATATATGTGTGTATAAATATATATATGTAAAGTAGTTCACTTAAAGTATTACAAGTATTATTTTTCTACAAGTATTATTTTTCTTGGAAACTTTGGTGGATATATATCGATTAATCTTTTTTTTTTCAAATTTAATAGTACAAAGGAGCTGATTATATATTTTGAGATGATCGTTTGAGTATCAAAGGAATGTCTCTATGTTTTTTAAAATGTAATATATTTTTTTCTTTTTCTTTAAATAGCTCTTATGAAACTAAATGACATTTATTTTAGTTATGACAAAAGGAAGATAGATGGATAATAGGTAAACTATATTTGTGGCTGCCTAGATCACTGGATTTGACGCTATTAGACACTATTATCTACAGTATAAAGTTATGAATACTGCACCACAAAAGAAGATATGAAGAAGAATACAAAATACATGTAAATCCGTCATTCTAATAATATTGTCAAGTATAAGAAATAATGCGATACTAAGTAAATGTTTAGAAGTTAATGTTTGATCAATATTTTGACCATTTAATAAAATGAATTCTACTTCAGAATATATCTTTTTCAATTTCTCCTCAGTGTCACTGCGAAATTTCTTTTGTATCTCTCCCGTATCACTTTTATGTAAAACAAGAAATGCTGCAAATATTATAAGAATTATTTAAAGGAAAAAATATACTTCACTTTAAAAAACATAGATCCCTTTTGACACTTAAGTATCATTTAAGTGTCACTTCAAAGAAATCTTTTGTTTCTCAAATAATCAGCTGCTTTGTACTATTAAATTAAAAAAACAAAAGAAATTAATCAATATATGCTATAGTTTCTGACAGAATGACTTGTAACACTTTAGGCATTATAAATTTAATATCATCCTGTATATAAATTTACTTTCTTATGCATAAATACTTCCTCTTAAATATTTTAAACATATACAGACAACATTTGCTACTTTTTTAATCGTTTAATTTTTCTACTTTCTAAATATAATATCTGTTATCTTAAAAAAAGTGAATTTTATTTAAAAAGCGAAAGAAAAAACAATTTCGTGATGTCAACAAAATCCAAATCATGTTATTCTCAACAGGAAATATGCTTCCTAGATTCGTATGGAAAATAACAAGTATATAAAACAATTAACGTCATACGTAATAAAAGTGCAAATGATTTTATGCTGTACAAGTTTATATTTATTGTAATACCAACACACATAGCAGCAAAATCATTAATACTTACGTTCATTATTTAAGAAAATATGTACTCCGATAACACTAACAAATATGGAAAATGCTTCAACTGTTGTCAACTACCTCGTCTTACTTGTAATAACTGTAGTTGAAATGGAAACAAAGCATTTGAGAATGAGACTGGCTGTGAGAATGAGAAAAGGCAACCGGGACGGCACAGGAGCAAAGGGAAGAGTCTCATCTCTCGCTCACCCTCGCGCAGTATCACACGAATTCTTTTTCGTATGTATAACGTTCTCTGCCAATCAGCATCCTTATTTTTAACGTGCTGTTCAAAATAACCAATCAGAGCTGCATTTCTTTTAGGTCTTTTTATCTCTATATATGTGCAATCAGTACAATAAACCAAGGTCAGCCAATGGAGTTTGACCCCAGTATCAGCACGAACCTTTGAATCGCACGAATTTATTTATTGTAAATTTTTTATCAGTGAATCAGATAAAAATAAGTATTTAGATCATGTAAAAACAGAATAAACGAAAGAAATTATCATTATTTGTATTTGTATTTGTAAAAATTGAGAAATTGCATGTATTTAATGCAATGTTTATTATGTCGTATATTCTGAATTAGGGAGTTAATTTTTGATCATGTATTAAAACCAATTGATACGTTGTTAAGTTATGGTTAAATAAAAATTTCCCGTATATGGTTAAATAAAATTTCTGTATTCCTATATTTTATCTATATAATTATGTATAATTCATTGATAAAAAGATTACAAAATTTATTAAAAAGATTTAATTAAACAAAAGATACAAATGAAAATTAAAAAAAATTTATATTATACTCCGAATTAATATACATGTAATATGCAGATATCTATGCGATTAAAATTTTGTTTCAAGAAAACATGTAACGTATATACATAAGTATACGTATATACAAAAATTATTATTTGAAAAGAAAAGTATTATTTATTTAGCAGGAAAATATAATAATAAAAAGAAATTAATGAACATATTACTAAAATCGTTTTTAGGAAAGCCATTTTAATATGAAATAATGATAATCATTACAACTGAATACAACATGAGAAGTATTTGAATTCCAAACAAAAATTTACAATACACATATATTACTCTGTACTAAGCACAAGCCCAGTTATATATAATAAAAATTATTTATGATTATAATAACATCGCACGATACTCGTATTATTGGTTATATTTTGTTAAACGTATAGGTTAAAAGGAAAAATATATAACATAATATATTTAATTTACAATGACAGTCATGCAGTATAAAAGTTTACAACGCCTTAATTCTTATTATAAATATTGCTGCAATAAATTTTCTACTCAACATTTGTCAGGTATTTACATAATTTGTACATTAAAAATCAAAAGAATGATTGTTGTTGTTTCTTTTAGATTTTCCAAAAACTTTTAATACTAAAGAAGCTGAACATGAATGGTATCAGATTTGGAAAAACAATAATTATTTCACTATTAAAGATAATGAAAAAGAAGCATTGAAAATGCTCTTACCTCCTCCTAATGTAACTGGAACATTGCATTTAGGACATGCGTTGACTGTAGTAATTCAAGATACATTAGCAAGATGGTATTTTTGCAAAAGTTATTAATTCTTGGAGATTAAATGTTAATTTAAAAATAATTGGCATTTAGGTATAGAATGAAGGGACATCCTGTGATATGGATCCCAGCATTTGATCATGCTGGAATTGCAACACAAATAATGGTAGAAAAACATCTTTTTAAAACAAAAGGTATTAACAAGTCAACTATGGGAAAAGATCAGTTTCTATCATTTTTATGGCAGTGGAAAAATGAAAAACAAAATATTATGAAATCTCAATTAGAAACCTTGGGTGCCAGTCTAGATTGGTCAAGGGAATACTTTACAATGAGTAAGGTAAAAATATAATTCTTTTAATAGAAAGTATCTGAAGTTTTCAGAGAGCAAAATATTTTTTCATGTTGGAAATTTTAGAAACATAACATTGCTGTGATAGAGGCACTTGTCATGTTAAACAAACAAAACTTATTATATAGGAAGAAAGATTTAATAAATTGGTCTCCTACTTTATGTAGCACAATATCAGATATTGAGGTAGAACGTGTATACCTTACCAAAAAGACACAGTTTCAAGTTCCAGGATATAAAAAAATGGTTACATTTGGTGAAATAGCACATATAGCTTATCCAGTGAAAGATTCAAGTATGATCATTTAATTATATTATTACCATACTATGTATAATCAATCTGTTAATCAATAAGAAAGTTTATTTCTATTTTCTTAGAACATGAGATAGTAGTAGCAACTACTAGACCAGAAA